TGCACCTGCAGCACTGGCACAGCTGTGCCCCTTTAACGAACCAGTCAGTACTTACAAAGAAGGCAGCTCCACAAAAGTAAGGAAAGCAAGCAAGGTAAGGAACAGAAGCTGGTGAGGATAATTTCCTAGCCCATCACTCTCCACCTAATACTCATCACTCTAATCAGCTGTCAAAAAGATTTTTAAATAGGAATAAATGCCTTGGTTAAATTAGTGTAAAATTCTATGGTTAATCATCAGTTATTTAAACCTCTTCTACTGAAATTGTGATGGATATGTTCTTTTTTTCAGAAGGTAATACAGTCATGAGTGAAGGTGGAAAAAATAGGCATAATTAGTTCTTTGTATTAAATACAGTTGATAAACAGAGCAGCAATATATTCAGAAATGAGGTAGGTCAGGAAGGAGCTTCTTTTGGGAGAAACTTGTATCTGTCACAGTTCATTGTAACATCTACCATAAGTTTCACTGAAATATATTATTGGTTATTGTCTGCAGCACAACAGGACTCTTTCCTTTAGTGACTAGGATCTTGGAGAAAAGCAGCTAGAAAGTATAGATTACAGTTTCAATATTTAAATATTAATTTTAAACTGTGTGCAGCAGACTATTAACTGGAAAAGTTATTCTTCATGTCCTAGAATCTGCATCTGGGCTGGAGGGGGAGGTGGGCAGGCAGGTTTCCACTTACTTTATAAGAAGCCACACCACTTCTTATAAAATACTGCAACAGTAGCAGTATGTAAATAGAGCTGTAAAGGTAAAAAGGTTATTAGGCTACATCCCTTAATTCCAGGCAGCAAAACCCAATTTCAACTTTTATACGACTCCATTAACAGAATCACTGCCACATACCCTATTGAAATCACACAGCCAGCACTGAAATGGCTATTTCTCTAAGGAAGCCTGTATTTTAGACCTTAACTGAAAAGTAAAAGAAAAATATGCATTATTTGCTTTAATCTTTTTAGCTTTTTTACATTTCAGAGCAGTAAGTAGTTTGATGGCTCAGGAAACTATTGACAGAGTGACTATCAATAACCTGCCAGACATATGTATATGATATTTAATTAATATTATTATTTAAGGACACAGAAAAAGAATGACTCTTCATTAAAAATTACCATGACTGTGTAAACTTATTTCATAATTCTTTTTCCTAAATGGCAATACCTTTGTGACCCAAATTAAACCAATAAATTGTATTTTTTTACTGGCTCTTGTACTCTAGCATTTCTTCTATTACCCTTCAGCTAAGCACATGAGCATCTTGCAGCAGCCAGCAAGTATCACGTCTGTGACAAGGGTTTGCTGTTCAGGATGGCGCTGCTGAGAAGGCCAACTCCTGCCTGCACAGGAGCAGGCTGCCTCCCTGCAGGAGCACAGGGCCACGGCCCAAGCTGGGTGATTGTGCTGCTACTCTTCAGTGTAACATTACCTTCTTTCCAGGCAGCTGGGAAACACAGAGGGCTAAATTTTGGGAAGTGTGCTTCTCCAACAGAATGCACTCATTGTGTATTGGATGCCACATCCTGCCACTTTGTTCCTACGTGCTGTTGAAAAACCTCTGGTACCTGGGAAAAGGGATTGGATTGCAGGTGGCACTACATGGTGTGTGGGCATGAGCAGCAAGCCTTGATGGAATGCTCAGTGCAGAGCTGGACTGGTCTTGCTGCTGCAGCTGCCTCACCGGTAAAATGTCCCAGCCCTGGGTCTTAGTGGCAATATTCCCAAACCATTCCAAAGTCATTTGCTTACATCTTTCAAACCAGACCTATTAATCTTGGTAGTAGATGGTGTCATTTGTGTCTCCTGCTGTACGCCTCTCTGTATGGTCCATGGCAGCTGCATTTTCCAACACCCTGTTTCTCTAGGCAGGTATAACTATGATACTGTTTTGGGATAGCACCTGACTAACTGGTCTGCAAATACAGCTCCTGCTCCAACTAGACTTCTCTGGGTAGGGAGTGTGTCTGGGCCCAGAGTCCCTCCACCAGGAAGGCTAAACAGGGAATGAGGAAGATAAAAAGAGCTGCATAATAGCAAGAGTGCTATGAACTGAATGTAACGACAACTTGTCAGCTAGTTTGTATGGGAAGCAAGGGATAGCTTCACTTCATGTAACTCCTGCCTCATGAGAATCTTTCTGCAGAGAGGTGGAAGTACTTTTGGAATAGCATTTTCCCAATGCTATTATGGGCATCTCTAAATCAGGAATTATTTGGCATCTCTAAGTCAAGACTAAAAGGTTAAATTTCTCCTAGGATCCTACTAGTGGGAGCAAGGGGATCAGTCTTACACTTTCTACTCTATTACATAAGAAAAGCTTAATTCAAAAGGTTTGTGGCCCAAACTAAGCTGAGTTGCTAGCTCATCCTGCCAGCGTATATGTGCTGTATCTGTACCAAATATTAACAATTTAAATGGCTGCAAAGGCCTGGTGAAATTACAGTCTTAAATGTTTAACAATTTGAGTTCTTAGTAAGGTCACACAGTCTATTTAAATAAGGTCTGGACTGTAATTTTCGACTGCAATAAATTTACTGAAGCCTGAGTAAGGGACATGCAGGTTTATTTCACTGCAACAACTACATGCCTGGCTCCTGATTTTCAATTCTAGTTCTATCAAAATATCATTATTATCTTGACACTTTTCTATTCCACCAGTCTGGAAAAGGCTAGCTCTGTTGGAAGGTTTGGGAGCCCTCTTTGGAGATTCTTCAAGCACTTACACAAATCTCCATACCACAACACAGCTGCTCAGAAAGTGTCCTATAGCCATTGCATTATCAGTCAGTTAATTTCTGAAGTTACTAGCAAAATTACACTACATTTATTCATTTGATATTATTCATATTAATATCACCATTCATTGATTTAGTAATGTTTTAACAGCTGAAGAAAAATAAGAAGGTGGTTCAGACAGGAAGATGTCCTATGTCCTTTTCCCTGAAGCACTGAAATTAAAGAATGAACTAACAGGACACTCCAAGAAAGTGACTGAGAGCCCACATCTTCCTACATGTCTTTACAGAGCTTAGAAGAATACTGCAGAATGCCAGTTGTCATTCTACACTTACAGTTGTGTCTACCCCAACAGAAGCACCAAGATTCTTTGTCAGTGTTGGGAAACAGAGACTGTCACGTGATTAGAAGCCTAGAAATGTGATCTCTACCCATAACTCCCAGCTTCAAATTGCCACTAAGTGCAAATGATACTGTGAGAAGCTTGGACAGCTGTGCATGAAGAGTCCCCTACTGCTGGCTAGGAGGAGCCAGGAACAGAACCACAATTCAATCAGCCTGCTGCTCTGCAATGCCTCTGTAGGTCATCTCACTGGTAGGGAATAACAAAGCACACAGCAACTTGAACCCAGCCGAAATCTTTGTCATAGCTGTCTTTGTTCTTCATTGTTTGTGACTAGTCCCATGAACTTAGTGATTTTGCTTAAGAAGTCACAATTATAGAAAAGAGTGGTTTCAGGTCAGCTGCTGTGGGAAAAAGTTCAGAGAACCATTAGAGAAGATAGGAGATACACAAAGCAGAATACTCCTCAGACTTAAAAACAGATGCCTACTTTTCTTAAGTCATGCTAGTCTTACTAGGCTCTTAATTAAAGATGCCTGTTTCAGATTTGCTTCTGTAATTTGTATCTTGCTCATTCCCAAAGGCCAACACCAAACTATTCACCTTGTTTACCCAATTAAATAAGATTCTTTCAATTGTCTCCTACCTAATTGGAAGTCTAGAAGCAATATCATATTTACATCTTCTAAGCCTTATTGCTTTCAGATCATATATATGCAGCCCTCATTACTCATATTATAGCCAGGCATACTAAGGCTATATATATACAGCTTATATATATATATTTATATATATACATAGAGAGAGAGAGATTTTTATGGGATGGTATCAGCAAAATAGTACTTAAAGATTGTGCTCTGAAATGAAATATACAACAATAGATGCTAATAATGAATAAAATGGAAAGTACCCCTTTAGAAAATCCATTTTATATAGCAGACATATATTCAACATATTAGTTACTTGTGTCCTTAGTTAAACAAAGAATAGAAACTTGAAGTGACAGTCTGCAGCCATATTTTCATGATTTACACAACTGCTAACAGTGATTCAGGCTTGTGACTGTTGATCTGAGAGAATTAGCAGGGAATTACCTTTGCAATACAGGAGCATGAACAACATTCTTCAAGTCATATACTGAGATAATTTCATTATTGACAACTTTTTTCATTTGTTGCTCTGTGTAGACGTACAGAAACCAAAGATTTTTTACACCATATTTAAGCATTTTCCCTATCGAAAGTGTGATCTGTATCATTCATGATTCATGTGACCACTTTCAAAAAGTAAAAATGACAAAAACCACACAGTAATGCAAAAAATATATTCTACAGAGTCCAATGGAAATAAACTTTTTTTTTTCTCATCTGACTTAATCAGAAGCTGGTTTGCTCAGGAAGCTCAATAAATTAAATCTAAAGCCTTGTTTATAACTATGCTGGCCTTTTTCACAGTGCCCGGGTACAGCTGAACAGTAGGTGGCGTGATACTGTCACACCATTATGTAGCAGTATAACACACAGTATCTATTTATAAAAAAATTAAATACTGAGTATCACTATGTACAACTCATGCTTGAAGCATTATCTAGCTAGAGATGGACAGAACTAAAAGACCACCATATAGCTAAGTAAAGATGGTTGGTTATACTTTAAAACTTCATTATGACCCAGATATTGGGCCATTTCTACCCATACTGCAGTGCGCAATATTTCTACGAATAAAATCAGGCAACTAATATTTCTCAGCTGCTTGAGTGTACTGATTTTGGATGTACTGGTTACTTACCAGGAGTACATCAAAGATGCAGTGGCATCCCCTTGGTTTAAATGAATTAGCAAAACTGCCTTTGCAGAGGGTTCTTGAACAGTTCACATCCATCCTCACATTGCTAACCACTTTGAAACTTTACCTAATTCAGTTTCTTTTCAGTTGTCCTCATTAACGAGTGGACACAGTATGGAACCAAGGCAACTACAGTCAGAGGCATAGCTGCGCTCTTACAAAAAGAGAGAATATAGAACAAATACTCAGTATGAGTAGGTATCTTAACAAAATTATACAGCTGCAGGGCAGCTAAAGAAGCAGCTATACACAATATGCGGAAACTTATCTTGCAGCTATTTTTACCTTTGCAGCTCGTGAGGAACATTTCAGAATTAATTCCAAGACCTAAACCAAAGAGTGCACCTAAATTCCTCACCAATCCAGCAAATGGAGTTGTATCAATGTTTATCCAGTCTGGGTTGGCACACCACTTTTTGGCCTTTGGAACAGACCATAGCAGGTCAATATCAAGAAGCTTGAGGGATAGATAAAAGCCAAGGGCAAAGATGAAAAGAAACAAGTTTGTCTTGATGTACATTCTCAAGCTTGCAGTCTGAATAGCAGGGGTGTGCTCAAATGCTTCTGCCACAAGAATGCCTGTGGATTAGAAACTCAGTGTTACAGGGAACCACACACTTGTACTTTGAAGAAGCGTTTCTTACAGTGTCCCTATAGCATTTGACTTTTGAAGAAAGAAGAATATATCTGTGTAATAAATATCTATGTGTGTGTCCATATATATATATATTTATATTTTTATATATATATATATTTATACTTACACATATACACACACAATTTACCACATTACAAAACCCTTCCTACCACTAAAAACTTCCACTATGGGGGAAAAAAAAAAACAACCAACAAAACCAAAAAACCAAGTACTACATGGTTTTGATATGAGGCATACCTTAAGGCCTGACTGCATCTCCCAGATGACAACCTATCAAATATTAGACGTAAACTGGAACATTCTTTTTCCAAAAGATTCCCTCACTAAAAGACTGGCTCCAGCAATGCAGAATTCAACACCAGTTCCCACACAGGCTTTCAGTGTTGAAGGAAAAGACACAGAACACACTTATCTTCTCTTGTACTCATTTTATCTTGGTTGTGAAGAGGGAAAGCTGTTAGCCAGGGTTGCCCAGGCTGCACTGCATCCATGAAAGAGAACATGAGCAGGAAGCCCCTGCTCAATTCACTGGTCACCCTCCTTAAAATCAGATAGATACCAGAAATACTGCTCATATTTTGGACTCCCTGAATGCCAAATTATATGCTTAAGTAACTCTGAAAAATGTACTTCAGCATCTTAAATCACCCAGGGAGTTTGTCCTGCTATTTACATTTTTTTTCCATTTTGCCCCAGGTCTCTGTGTTTGTCCACATTGCACACATGCTATTTTGCACCTGGGCACCATTTGAAATGACCCAAACAACTTCCTCCTGAGAGAAAAGGTCAGAGCCATGTAGGCGCAACTTCCTCTCTGATCTCTTCCACACAGGCAGCACAGTTAAAGACCAGATGCAGCCAGTACAAAGCAGTCAGAGCTAGTCTGGGGCAGTGTGGACACAATACAGTCATCATCAACTGTCAGGTGGACAAAGACTCATTCCCTTCACTGTGAATTACATAGGCAGCAGGTACATTCTACCTCACAAATTTTACCTTCGGACTATTATCAAATCCCTGATTTTCCAGAGAGTGGAGAGCACCACTGGGGTTGCAAGACAAGTCCAACTACTAAAAATCTCTTGTCTTCTCTCATATTAAAAAAAAAAAATTAAAATTGCATATAGGTTAAAAAGGAAAGAAAAAATAGCAGCATTACCAGCAAACACTCCAAGAACAACTTGATGAGGGAAATGTGTTGCTATGAATACTCTTGAGATGCACACACTGATCTGGATAATCCAAAAAATACTCCAGAGGAATGACCATGTTAGTCTAAGAAGGAAAAGGAAGATGCTTAAAAATTAAGAAAAGATATTTCATCTACTTATTTTCCTCAAAACCCATCATGTAAGGCTCATGCTTTTCCAGCAGAGGTTTACTAAGTAGAGTAGTTTAGAATCAGACGATTAAAAACTAGAAGTCAGTACTAAAACATCAAGAGTGTTTACAGGAACAGATCTCAGAAGTTTCAGGTCCAAGAGACCTCTGTGGTTTAAGTCATGGAAGTCATCAATGGCAGATCAAATTAGGACTAATACCTTAAACATATCTCTCATCATGAATTCATTGCTATATGCAGAACTCAATTATTTAATGACAGAATTCACACAGTATGAAAACAACCTCACAGCCTTAGAAAGAATAGCCACCAAAGCAATTGCAGGACTTTCCCACAGAGCTGAGCAGCACATAACAGCAAATTTTGTCAACACTGTGCACTTGCTTTAAAATGGGCAAAGAACAACCATCAAAGCAGTAAATTTATGTACTAATCCAAAAAAACCCAATACATAGTGACAACTAGAGATTTAAAAATTTCCAGCACTGACAATCTAGGACTGATTCAGAGATATTGTATGCAATGTCTGTAATTGTATGCAATGTCTGTAAATAAATACCAGACTATACAAACAGATAAATCCTCTTAATATACTTTTTCTTCAGCTGAAGTAGATCATAATAAAGGGTTGTTGGTTTTTTCACAAAACAGACCAAACTGTGAATATTTGTTTATTAAGTCCACTAAAAACATAGCATATATTTAAAGAACTATCTGAAAATAATGAGTTGGAATACTGGAAAGACACTGACCTGTGAAGGGTAACAGCTGATTTATCTTTCCATCTAACGGTGTAGCTAAGTGCTGCTGTGACCATTACGTACCAAACGCAGGATGATCCCATGGCATGTCCAGATGGGCTTCCTAGTAAAAACAAAAAGGAAATATTCAACTCAAGAAAGAAGACTATGATATCTGTCATACAGAAAACGTCTACTGGTAGTTACTCAGGCACCTAATAATTTAGAAGGGAAATAGCTAACAAAGGCTGAAAGAATGTGAACTGCTTCTTAAAAGTTAATTTTTGCTGTATGAATTGTTCAGAAGGTTCATCTATAGGGAATCCATAATACTTTTCTGAAATAAAAAAGGTAATAGCTTACTCATTTTATATTGGTGTGAGTTGGAATCTTGATAGGAAAACATATTCTTTTCCCATTACTTGGATTAAAAAAATTTGAAAAGCACTTAGGGCTGTCTTAGAGCTGTAGCATGGAATGTAGAAATTATATATAAAGATCACATAAGAAAAGTTTTGAATGAGCCTCCCCATAATTAACAGGAGCCACAGAAATGTAGCTCTTTGTAACATTCTAAACTAAAGGACCAGTATAACTTCAGATAGCACTTCCAAACTGCTTTTTATCTGCTTTTACAATTACCACGGTGTTTAACAATTGTAAGCTGTGTCTCATTAGCAATATTACAATGCAGATAATTAACATTTTGAGTAGTTTTATAATAATTAGAAATGCATCTGAAGCATGGAAAAATGTGTCTATGCTTTACTTGGATAAATTTTATAAATTGTAATGTGCTGCAAAATATCAACCAGATTAAAAGCAGATTGTCAATGAAACTGGCACATGATATGATGCTCTAATTGCTGTACTCACAGGTACAGCACATAGTAGTCTACCTACAGCAGTCTATAACAAGGAACACTCTCATATAGAGAACAACAGCAATTTCTTTTTAGTCCAGGCTATAATAATATATGTGTATTTTGTTTTTATTTTAAAATCAAAATTTTAATTTTACTGGAAGCAATATGAAACCACAAAGAAGTTCCTACAACTGTGAAAATCACCATAAAACAAGGTATGCTGGCATGATGCAAGGGAAGTGATTCCTAAAATTACTCTGTCACTTCCTTTCTCATGTTCACCAGACTTACATTCAACAAACCAAAATAGGGAAAGAAAAAATTAGATCATTGGAATCTGTAAATCTGGGACCTTTACATCTTGGCTTTCTGTGGAGACAAAAGAGAAGGGACAGGGTTATTCCACTATCAGAAGAAATAATTTTGACTCAAGAATGTGTTATGAGCCAGCACTATCTAGTAGTGTGTAGAGGAAAAGAATACTTCAGTGAAGTAGCAAAGCAGAAATGTCTAGGCAGGACAAGCACTATGATTTCTGACTCCCTGCATTAATTTTTGCTATTCTGCTTGGCAGTACATTTAGAGTCACTCTACCAGCTCTTTTGTTAATTTTCTATCAGATGTGCACTCCTAAACCTCACAATGGAACAAATGTCAACGATGAGGAAACAGTAACATTGTATGTCAGCAGTGGAAGAGCTTCTCTTTGCTGTCATCTAGGAAAATGCCATCAAGGAATAATATTTCATAGCTTATCTGCAAATTGCCTACTCGAAACAACATAAATTCCACTTTAAGGTTTATGTTCTTAAAGTTTTACAAATATCAGAAAACATATAGCTGCTGGGTTTTAGTTCAGCTAATTCCAGAAGTACAAACCAAATTCAGGTCCTAAACTGTTTGCCATGTAGTCATATGAACAGTTCCCTCAGCTTTCCCTTTTGCTGAGACATGGAGTTTGGGGTTCAGGCTATCCTAGCAGTATTTGGATCTGTTTTTCTCTGTGGCTGCTTCTCTAATCTTTTAATATAAATTGCTATTTTAAAAATATAAATTGCTATTTTAAAAGTGTGTGAAGTACCATGTAAGCTCATACAATGATGCATGTACCACTTGCACTGACTGCGCCTCCTCTTGCTAATGAGAAACAGGTCAGTGACAGTTCTTAATGGTCCAAAGTCTCGAGGTGGGAAAAAATGTGGTCATTATAAGTGCAAAGAAGGAATCAATATGACAGTTGTAGCCACTGGACAGAAATAGGAATGACCTTTCAGAAAGACAGTAACAAGAAGAAACGCCTTCTGGTTCAATGAATCAAAATGAAGCACACTGACTGTCTCCTGAGCCAAGGCTTGGATCTACACAGCACTGAATGGGCTCAGCTCTGAAGGCTTTTGATAAGATCTGAAGGACTTCAATACCTTGTGTTGGGTCTCAAATGAAGTAACTTGAAAGACACTGCAGACATAAAGGCATTATTAAACCCTGCCTCATACAAAGGCTTAAACTTCTTGTTCATAATTACAATGGGATGCAATGCAGGGTATTGCTAACAAAATACAGCCATGCAAACTGCTTAAAAACTTTCAGTGGCATCAACAAGATGCAAAACACATCATTTCCACAGTCAGTATTTTCTTGCACAACAAATTAAACTAAATTCACTTAGCTCAATGCAAGTTCATCTTATTGCACATAGGGTTGCACAAGTTCATTTAGCTTCATCAGTATTGCATTTGATTTCAACAGAGAAGATAATGAGACATAAAAAGTGAAAATACATTGAAAAGGTAGATTTCAAAAATAATTTTTCCCCATATATTTGTACACATGCTCCCACACACACATTCAGTGGCAGTGTCTGGTTCTGGTTCTTTTCCACTTGTGATACATTATGTAATTGATTGCTGTGACTATTGTTATTTACCATCTGCTTAGTTTATGGGGTTTGAATATTTGTTGCAACAGCAAACAAGACCTCAAACTCAACAGCCCTGGGCTTTGTCTTGGAACACATTAAACAATGTATTTCACAAGTTTTGTGAAAATTTCTTTCCAATACGCCAGTTCATTCTACTAGTAGTTATTTTTAAAGCAAGCCCCCCTCCCTTTCCATCTTTTAAAGGCAATGATGGAAATACTCTTGTCATACAGCAAATACCTATTGTATTTCTTAGTTTTCCTCTACTTGTTTTTGTGTGCTATTTTATACATGAGCTCTGGTATTTCTGTATCATGTAAGACCTTCCTAAGTCCCATTCTCTCACCCCTGAAGCCACTATCCCTATCAAAGTACCAAGGAAATCTCCAACATTTCTTACCTGGTCCAGTTTCACATGTTATAGGAAACTGTTCAAGGCATGGGCTTGACTGATTAGGATAGATCATTGTTTCTTGCACCCACCAGTAAGGGCGATGGTCAAATAAAATCCTGACCCCCCCCAAAAAAAAAAAAAAAAAAAAAAAGAAAAAAAGAAAAAAAAAAAGAAAAAAGAAGAAATTAAATGAAAATATCTTTACATAAGAAGGCCTCAGCAAAGCATGATAAATAATCTTACAAAGAATATGAAGAGCTACATTTGCAAAGCTATTCTATAACAGTTCTACAGGTTCTTCTCACCTTATTACAATGTTATTTCAAACATATCTTAAATATCTTCTTTGTGAATTCCTATTTTATAATTACCAGGGAAAATCTACTAGTACATTATTCACAGAAAGTTTTCTAAACTTGAAGTACATATAGTAACTATTATTAAAAAAAAAAACAAATTTTAAAACAAATTCAACTTCTTACCATTTAAATATGAGGTTGAACCAGTCACCAATGACAGCCACCCATATCATTTTAGTACCAACCACTTGGTTGAGCTGAAACCAAAGAGGAAAATAAATTGAAAATATATTCCGAGGATCACCAACATGTGACATAAAATTAAGAAAATCCTGGTAAGCCCTGTAGTCTCTCTGTAAATGCTGAATGATAAGCACTCCATTGCTGTGAAGGAGATCCATCTTAATGGATTAAACTGTACTTGAAATATAGTAAAGTTCCTTTAATCTTAAGTTTCTAGTGACAGAGAATGAGAATCATGAAGGGGAGCTATTAAAAAGTGAGAGAAGGTGATTGACATTGCCTTTATATTATATTGGCGTGGTGCACCCCGTCATTCCCGAAACACGTGGCTCTGGAAAAGCATATGAGTCTCTTAGCACTGGAAAGCTTTTTTGTTTGCAAATTTTAATTGTAGGAAGCTAAGTGATGTGTATGCTGAGCAGCAGCAAATTGTAGGGAAAGTTTTGTGGAAACTAAATGTGTGACTCGTGCAATCCTTTGTAGGAACAGCTGGAACATGTTTGCTTAAACTTTTTCACAGTTCATTTCTCAGCAGGATGGACATCTTACTAATGCGTGTACTTCACTAAGTGTTGCCTGTATAAAGGATAGAAAGAATACACAAATTAATGATCTTCACAGAACTGTCACTGAAGCTGTACATTTCACTTTGAAACAGAACTTGGCTGTAACTAATACTTTGCACAACACATTTTTTCAGTCAGGGAAAATGCAACAAGCATCCATATATCAGCCATGCTCTTGGGCTCTAGATTTATTTTTAAAGCAATAATATTATTAAAATACTGAAAAACAATTGTTTCCTTCCTACAAGAGGCCTGTCAATCCAGGGCCCAATGCAGATGATGCTCAGTCTCCGAGCCATCTTTCGGTACCGCCATTCTTGGGCATTGCTTGCATGATGCCAGTCCTGAACCTCTCCGCCAGAACGAGCTGCAGCGCCCCCTTCTTGCTGCTCAGTGTGACAGGAATGAGACCTGCTGCACAAACCAGGGCAAGGTTGGGAACACATCATCAGGAGTATTTCCCTGAACCATTCCCAAGTGAAGCACAGCAGTTCTCCAGAGCCAACAGCCAAGAGCAAACAGATTCTGCCACACAGCAGGAGTTTAAAAGGTTACAGCAGACAATATATTAGCATATCAGATTTATCAATATTAGTACTAGTAACTGTAGTGTAGAATATTATGTTCATTTGAGGTGGCTTCATGAAAATAACTTTTTCTACAAGAGATTAAATGGATACTAAAAGCCTGATGATACCAACTTCTGATATCATCAGAGGAAAACTTCAAGCTCTTTATCAGGCTCTAATATTCTGATGTATTCATATCTTAAATCTGTTTACCTGAAACAGTGTGAGTCAGAAGACAAAAGCAGCTCTATATATGGACTGCACACCTCCCTAATACTCTTTCCATGCACTTCAAGCTAAACTGCACAAGCTGTGGAGACAAATATATGAACCACTTAACTGTTTTTGCTGTAAGAGGGGCTTAATGGCTTAAGAGGGCTTCATGATGTGTGGTCAGGAAAGTCACATGAAAACATTAAGTAGATTCAACAAATAAGGCATGACAATTAAATGGACATAGAAGATTTCTCTTCCTGACACAACCTCACACTTACTTTAACTACTCCCATTTACTTTAGCTAATAATAGTCTGGTTTCAGAAATTTTTTAGCAGATTTAAATCCTATATGTTTATTGCTACCAATTGCATTAAGGCATATAGAAAACCTTAAAGTTAAAAGTTTCAATGCATTGCTTCTGAATAATAACCCTTCCAGAATCAAAATTTCAGGATATTTAAAAAAAAATATTTCTTAGATTTTTTTTTAGCTGAAAATATTTGAGGATGTTTGTTTCTTGCTAAGTTGCATACCTTTACTGTTTTTCAGAGTGTGCAGCAAGGCAACTGTCATAGATATGATGAATTAATTTGCTCTCTCCCAGTACCTCCCCAAGACCATACTTGTTTAGAAATCTCTCTCTAATAACTCTTTGTATCTCATTGCTAAAAAAAAAGTTCTTTTGCTACATTTTTTTACTGCAAAAGTATCTTGCCTTTAAAGATAAGTTAGACTTACTATAACAATAAAAAAAAAAAATCACTCTTTTAGACATGTCTGGGTTTAGTATGCAGAAATGTAGAAAATCTGAGATCTTCCTCTGTTTTCCAATCTAGTTTAGCAAGAACAGTTAGCTTCAAACATGAGTGCAAATGCCAAGTCAGTTGGCAGATGAATAACAGACATCTTACTTCTAGTACTTGGTTAAAACAGCAACAATTACAATGAGGTTATTTTTATTGTTCCATTAGGAAAAAATATTTTGCAGCCCAAAAGTTTCCATCAAGATACAATTTAATGTCCTCAGGAGAGTCTACCAAGTAATAAAATAGGTCATTTTACAGTCCCTCCTTAACGGCACCACTGTTAGTCAGTGGTACCAAAAAGTTGCCTCTGACACAGGATGTGCAGAAGCGTTGCAATAATTGCAATAACTTTTTGCATGTTTGCTTTATTGACAAATTTAGACCCACCCACCCATATTATCTATGCACTAGGACAGCGACGCATCTGCTCAGGCTGAACTCTTTTTCAGACAGAGCCCCTCAGCCACACTTTGGCTCTCCAGAAACTTTATAAATTTAATGTTTGAAGACATGTCTTTGCAATGCTTCAGTAAAGTAACCTCTTTTAGTATAAATGCTGAAGACCTCTTGATATTAACTTTGAGGATTTTGCAGCTGATTCTTATGCTTAGATAAAGAAAGATAAGCACCTCAGACACAATACAGACTAACAGCAAGAGAAAAAGCTTTCATTTTCTCCTAGATTCTTTCTGAATCTTTCAGAAGCTCCTACATCCTCACCTTAGAGATACCAGAGCAGTCATGTTTATAAAGGATCTTTAAAAAACCTCAACAAATCCACAATCTACAAAATAGACACAACAGAAGTTTTGGAACAGGTAAGCATGTTTCTGTGGGAGAGGTAGTTCTCACTGTGCCTGCAATCAGCCATGATCCTGCTCCATCCAAGAGGAAATCAATAACTGACATGCTAGTAATCTCTTGCCCTGCCTGTCATATTACACAGCCAATAAAAGTCTGAGACACTAAAGACCTTCCAAGCTGTAATAACCAACAAAGATGGTGAAACATGACTTGAAATACTGTATTTAATAACGTGTTTGACAAAGAAGAAACACTTCCTCAATAGAGTTCCAGTTTCCCTCACTCCTCTAAGCAAAGCACTGCAAAAAGCTTCTGTAATCCCCCTAGTGCTTCAAAGTCACTCGAAATAATACATGAAATAAAACTCTTTGCTGTATTTTAATATGGGGAATTGCAGGGAAACCTAATGATCTGCACAAAGTGGTCAGAAAGGCTAGGCAATTAAGTTTTTAAATCAAAGCTTTCTCTTGTTTCGATATTGGAGAGCCAAGGTTTGGCCTTCACATAAACTAGTTTAAAGCAAAAACCTTTCAAATGCTATCTGTTAATATATTTTTTAATTTATTGATAATTTCTTGATTTACTGTGTTTTCCAAGACACACAAAACCAAAGACTTCATATATACGTGTGTCTGTGTGTGTGTATATATACACACACATAAAATGTAAAAGCAAGACTCATGCTGATGATCCACTGAAGGGAGGATAAAATGTTTACAGCTGCCTTGCACGTACATATTAGAACAAATATTACATAACAGTCAACAGATGCTTTTAAGTAAATGTTTGCAAGGCATGGAAAAACCACCAAAGCAAACATTTTTTGAAACACTGTTAATGGAGGCCTATGTAATGGGCCTGACTTTCTGGTACATTATGCTTAGTTAATTGAACAATAACATGAATTTCCACACCAGTATTTCCACTGACACTGGACCAGCTACAAGGATTAACAAGCAATTTGCTAAGTTCACCAGCAGACACTGTATACAACAGCTGACAGGTATTTTCTCAGGCGTGAACGTTTTCCAAGTGGAACACTGGAAAGATACACCTTAATTTTTGAATTAGAAAGACAAGAATATTTCAAGAAGCTTGTGCGCACTCGCTCTCTCTCTCATTTTTTACTTTCAAATCCCATATCCTCAAGCATTCCTCACTGGACCCAGGCTTTTTTAGGGTTGGGCTGACCAATAGAGGTTTAGCAATAGTTGACATGACCCAGTCTCCTTCTCTTCATTCTGCCACCTTAATCTGACCTTTCCTAGTTAGTACAGTCATTACTCTTTGCTATAAAGTTAACTATGCAAGCACACAAAGCCAAAAAAACTAATCTGTGCACTATAACAATAATCAGACCTGCCAGACCTTAATATTGGTTTACATTAGTAATGCAAATTAGTAATGTAATTACATTACATTGTGTTTATAAGTGCAACAGTATAAATTATACAAACAATGCATGGAATACAATTCTGGCATGCCTATGAAAAAGCTACGTCTAAGGAATTTTACTTAAGTATGAAGAACTACCATACAGAAATTAGAAGCAACCTAGAGAAGATAAAATTCCTTCAAGTTCCATGAACTGCAGGCAGAAATGGAACTGGATCCATTAGGGCAACAATCTCCAAACTATTTTTCAGTTCCCCTTCCAATAAGATTCCTGTCTTACTGTCATTCTCCAACCCCTGAAACTAGCCTGCTCTCATTCTTAAAAGCAGCCCTATGCCAGCCATAGCCCAGGGAGTCAGAAACCTGCCACAAGAAGTAGCTGAGTCAGGTTATTAGTACCAGCTTGTCATGAGCTTTAGAACATCCTCATAAGCCTGCCACAAGAAGTAGCTGAGTCAGGTTATTAGTACCAGCTTGTCAATGTTGTGCTCCTTTAGAACATCCTCATAAACTGCAGTAGCTCTCCAACCCTGAGCTAGACTTTTCAGCTGCCTCTTAACCCAGCACTGAACTGCCCAGGATGGACTTTCTGTTACCACTAAAATAAAGCAACAGATTTTTGTTGGCAACATTCTGCCCTTCTGTTTGACTGCAGGGAACTGTCACCTTGGAGCTGCTGCTGTGCCCCTTGGAACCTGGAGTTTAACCAAGTAGCCTGGAGTTAAAAGGAAACACATGAAGAGCTGGAAAATGCAGAAATACCATAATTAATGGTCTCCAGCTAAGCTCACGGTGTTAAAAATAGGGTAAATCATTGTTGAAACTTTTTTTCCATCCATGACTACTCTATGGCTTGCTAGGTTAGACATTTAGGAAGCAATATTTCAAAACAATTGTCTGGGCTAGAGTTATGGTGGGTTGGCTGCCAGCATTTCTTTCTACAGAGCCTCTCGAATCAGACCCAGAAGAGGACCCAGAAGCATCTGACCTGCACTGCTTTGGGCCATGAGGCCACATTCCTGTTTGTAGCTGCCAAAAACCATCAGTTTGAACTGAAAATTAGGACTTGCCAAAATCACTGTGCTTCCCTGAAACACACACTTGGTCAACTGATGGTGGACAGTAGTGGGAAAGGTTGAAGATAGGTTATAGTATAGTTCACATATCTCAAAACCTCTAAATGAATTGGAAAAGAGATCAATTAAGGTATGGATTCTGCCAGTAAATATCACAGGCATTTAGTCTTTGGTCGGTGAAAGTGTAAAACAAAGGAATAGGGCTAATGAGTCTAGAAGAATGTCACTGATGAAGAAGATACCCAACATTTCTGAGCTAGTGCCAGCTACTGGGGGATGTACCCATTATCTGTGTTAATGAAAAGATTCAGAAGAGACCAGCTGTAGAGCCCACCAAAAGATTATGGATTAGAAAATAGGACTTGTTTAGATTAGTTTAACTTGTATTTACCAAACTCCAGGACCTGGGAAAATTGTGTATTTAAAGTTGATTGAAATTGACAATTGATTTAATTGAAAGTTATGAGCTCAAGTAAGAAAGGCTAATAATGTCAGGAGCAACACTGAAACTTTATATTAACAGCATGCACTTGGCTAGGCAAGAAATGTTCCTAAATAAAAAAAGCCATAAGGTATAGGCCCATAGTGCCCAAATTCATACATGGCTAGGTAATCATCCTTGGACCAGCCCAACTTCAGTTCATTTAAGTGTGAGGCAGGTGAGAAACAGAGGTCTATTAGCTTTAGGAACAATGCTGAAACTGTGAAATCTGGAGAACAGTGCGTCCAAGTCAAACAAGACAGGAATACAGTGGGGTAAAATGTTTATCCAGGAAGTTTGTTCAAGAGTAATGGAACTAATAGTTGGTGGTCCCAGCTCAGACTTCACTAAGCATTGCACAGGTGGAAGACAGTAATTAGCACTTTTAGACAGCAATTCTCAAAGCTATGCTAAATATACATTATTCTGGGATTATCTAAATAGCACTCACATAAACTAAAATTAGGAGTAATTCATTAGCTATGGTAACAAAATTATTAAAAGTAGCTTTCATAACAAACTGAAGGCTGCTACCTTGGATCACAAACTAGCGCTTATCAAGAGCTAAAAGGGAATATAAACAACTGGAGAAAAACCAGTCACACTGTCATAAAGAACAAACTCACTTTGACAGACGTTTATGGCAAATGTTTGACTGGGTACAGGCAGGGCTACTGTATGGTGGTTTTGTTGGCACCAAAAAGGACTGCAGTTACCCCTGCAGGTCATTCTGTCAGGACGCGCTTCATCCACACTCTTCAGAGAATTCAAGACGGGCGAACTAAAAAGCAATTCGGAAACTCACAAAATTTAAGTAAGTCCAGTTACCGCAAGTGTGTTCCATGAGTAAACCAGACACTGGGAACAAGCTGTGGCTTCAGAGGAGCGTAAATGAGCCGCGCTGTTTGTTCAGCACTGAACAGGCTGTTTTCCTCCACCGGCCCGCCAGGCAGCGGCGCGGCTCGGGCGCGGTGGGTGCGGGCCGGGCCCGGCGCGGGGCGGCTCCCGGGCAGCGGGCCGTGAGGGGCGGCGGGGGAACTGCCCTGGCGCGGGAGCCGAGCGCGGGGAGAGCTGCGAGGGAAACGCGGCTCCCACTGAGCCGGTGGTGACAACTGGCGCGAGGAGGTTTGAACAAGAAGGCGGGGCGGTAAAAGCGGCCCCGAGCGTTTGCGCTGTGAGCTCCCCCTGCTGCCATTGGCTCCCGTGGCCTGACGCCGCCGCTGTTCCCGCCAGGTTCGGTACGGCGCTATGGGTAATGCACCGGCGGAAGATGAAGTAACGCTCTTTGAAAGAGCTATGAAAGAGTTTTGGATCCAGTTTAAAATCAGTTATGGCACTGAACAGAACAATCAGACGTCAGCGCTGAGAGATTTGTGCAAGGAGACTTTAGAAGCTCTTTCAGGTACAAAGGTTCTGTGCTCCTGTTAACTCTGCTTTTCGCGTATTGTCATCAAACTTCTTCAGGTAACTGAAGTAACTTTCCCTTACAGAGCAATGGTCCAAGAAGCTGAAAGAAGAGGATCTGATGATTGACAAAATTCACGAGTATAACAATGGTACAGTTATTTATTTTGTCCAACCTTTATAAAATTAACTTAATACAGCTGAATAGTATGTTTAATTTCACATTTAAAAAGGTAAGTGATAACATCAGAATGAAGACAGAATTAAACCCAAACATAATGGGTTGGTTACAATATAAATCTACAATGTAAATTCCAAGTCAAAAGCGATTTGTTGAAAAACTTCCTTGATGATGCAAAAATATAAGTTTTCTGTATAGAGCGTAAGTATTTAAAACAACAGAGTATCAGAATTTTCTGATTGCAGTGGTAAAATAAATTAAATTGCTTAGTAAAGCTAAGTATTGTGAAGTTATATATTTTCTATATTAGTAAGAGAATACTGTCAGCTCATCAGTCTAGGATTAACTTGGCTGAATTTTGTAAACTTCAGAATACCAGGTAAAAATGATTGCAACTCTCCTATCAGTCAGTGTTTCCATTCTTGGCTTTCTGTCATTATCTGTGGGCAGGAGCCATCATCTTCATGCTTTGAAGATGTATATAGTGCTGGCACCAGAAACAAATTTAATCTCATTAAAGTATCAGAGCAGCTCCATAGCTGCCCTGGTACTTTAATGTATCAGAGCTTCTGATACATTTTTCCTCCACCGGCCCGCCAGGCAGCCCACCGCCACGCCACCAGCAGACCCTGCCAACGCATCCCAACAGGCAATCCCGAGGGGAAGGGCCGCCACCCCCGGCTGCCGCTCCCTCACGGCACCGCCCCGCCCGGCCCGCCCACCATGGCGGCCGCGCCCCTCACGCCGGCCACGCCTCGCGCTCGTTACCGCAGCAACGGCCCGGCAGGCCCGGGCCGGCTCAGCCAATCAGCGGCGCGCTTGCTGCGGGGCGGGCGGAGCTTCTGATACATTAGGTTCTTTATAGCTTCTCTCAAGAATAACTTTCACTTTAAGTTTTCCTTTGATGCTCTGGTAGAATTAAGCTGACTTCTCTCTGAAGCTATGGTAGCATGCATTCCACTGTGTTTTATTAATATAAATAATTTCAAACTACTTAAGTTTTATATAGCAGGGACATACTTAATGAACTGTATATGTTCATATTTTCTTGCCTCCTTTCAGAGATTCTCCAGCAGAGCAAATACGTAGCAGAAAAGGAAGAGCAGTTGACAGAAATAAAATCAAAGCTAAATCAAGAACAAGAGCAGCAGAAGAACTTGACTGACAGCATCCAAGAGCTTAAAGAAGAGTTGATGAAGAAAATGGAAAGTAAGTAAGAAAAGGATAAGTAAATTTTCTTAATTGAAGGAGGGGTTGTTTTTAACACTTGCTCTTTGTGGTTTTTCTGCTGTTCTAGATGATTTTTTATGTGCTTGTTTTGCCTTTGATACTTACAATGGACTTTTAAATTCTAGTAAAATCTTCTAAAAATAAAGCTGCCAAGGAGAAAGTGGAACAAGTGAGCAAGATTAAAACATTGTTTAAAGAGCATCTTGCACTGGAGATGCGTAGAATTCCAGGTAGGTTTCTGTCGTTTCCATAGTTTGTGTGCACTGATGCAATGTGCTTCGTGTTGGATTGTGCAGTGAAGAGCACATAGCTTACACACTTGATCAGTTGGCTTAGCCCGGCTACAACATTTGTCCCTCAAATGGCAAAATATGCTAAAATGCATTTGTCTTGCAAAGAGGCCAGGGTTGCTTAATCTGTCCGTGTTCTAAGAATATTAATTGAAACTTTGTATTGTGATTTTTAGTCATCATTGTGACTCTGCAGCAGAGGTTAATGGTGTTAATTCTGTTTGTGTTTATTTTAGATGAGCAATTACAGTTTATATTCAGACACATTGACCACAAAGATCCTGATAAGCCATACATGTGTACTGTTTCCATAAATGAACAAGGGGACTATGAAGGTATGTGAATTTTGAATACTTAAGTAAGAGGACTGAATCTGACACCTCTATTTGAAAAAAGGAGAGGAGTAAAGTGCAGTTGAAGTTAAAAGTATTTCACATGCTGGGCTACCTCAGTTTACAATCTGCTTGCCTGCAGAGCAACAAAACGGTTTAGGAATGTGTTTCAGTTTTTGAGCAGGCTATGGATTGCTGGAAATTACTGTAACAACTCAGGCAGGAGCACAGCACTGAGTGGGAGGTCAGTAAAGCAAAAAGCCCGTTATGTTCTTTGAGGCTTTCTCTTTGCTGAAAGAAAATGAGGCTTCTCAAAAATAATGCAGGTGGAAGCGAAAACATAAAAAGATAACAAACTACATTAGTTTTTCATAGGTGCAGGAAAACACTGGTATTGATTTATTCTTTTAATAATAGTCTAATCTTTTGCAAATTTTTGTCATTTTAGTGACTTCCTGTACTCCTCCTCTGGACTGTATCGCAGAGTTACAGCTTAAACTGAGAGAAACTAACAATTTTTCTGCATTTGTTGCCAACATCAGAAAAGCTTTCACTGCTTTATCATATAAACAGTCTGCATGAAACTGGTTTGTACCTCTCTTTCTGGCTGTAGAGCACTCTTACTCCCTTCCTGTTGCTAAAATGGTGTATTTATCCATGTCTGACTCCTAATTTCTAAATAAAGATAGTGAAAGCAGTATTTTAGTCTACTGTTATCTGGACACATTTTGGATCATTCTTTGAACAATAGTATCTCTAACTGTGGCCTTAACTGAATGTCTCTGGACATGTAAGCTTTGATGCAATTAATGCATTAATGATGTAATGGTTTGTATTTAGCTGCCCCTGGAGAGATAATCAAAATGAAGTACCTTCTGTAGTTTGTGTATCTTTTCCAAAAGCATTGATGTCTCTTTCAAATTTCTGTGTAGTTGAAATAGACCTGAAACCCATTAAAAAAAAGTGTGCTGCAGTTTAGCACTTACTTCAGTTACTTGTGTCATAGGACATTGTCTTGATTTTTACCCTAACTTGTACTCTACAGTGTTAGCATTTCTATTCATGCTTTTCTTCTGGTCTGTTAAACTTTGTCATTGGAAATCTTTTGATGTGGCAAAGCCTGAAGTATAATGTATTAAAGTATGAAATATAGTGGTGACAGATAAATAATATATGTATTTTGCATCTTATCAAGAAGATTATTACTACCACAATGCTCAGCTTTGATTGAAAATATTCTTTTTCTATCTTGTAAAGTGTTTTTGTTTTTACAGAATATTTAAAAGGACTGTTGCAGCAAGAAAGAAAATGCTTCATTTGATAATATACCACAGTTCCTATAAAGTGTTGACTAAGCTCAGTCCTAGAAATTGTAGTGAATCAAAAACTAATATTATGACCTAGTCATTTAGGCATGTTTACATCTGGTGATCAGATTTTACCTGATCTGATCAGATATTCTTAGTACAGTTCGGAATATTTCCCAGTCACATGTGAACTGTATTTTAAATAATTTAGTTTGTCTGAACTTAACCATATAGCTTGATGGATACACCATAGGCTGCACCCTCATCTTCTAGGAGCAAAACTTAACAAAAAAAGTAAAAGAGATAATCTTCCATTTCTTCTTCCCCATAGGGCATTTCATTTCAAAGTATTTCATACTTTGCTAAGTAGTGCATAATTTTCCTTGGTGTGCCCTATTGATTTTTTTTTTCTTGTGTTGCAGCCAGTTATACACAAAGAACAGTAAGAAAGGTAAAGGTGCCAACTGATTACACTGCAATTTTGGTTAGTATAGCAGCAGAGAATTACTAAGCATTACTATAATGGCATCTCAAATAAAACAAATCCTCAGTTTCTGCTTTGTGTCCTCTCTGAGAATTCTGTAAGTCCTCTCTGAGAATTCTGTAGCTGGCAATGGTACAAAGAGGCGAGGGATGGGAGCCTGACTTCAGGGGTCTCATTGTTCGTTAGTGGATTTGCTTCCTTTTCAGCCAAATTAACAGGATTTAAGTTGCAGGTATTTCTTTCAACGAATTGCTTCTACCATTAAGAGAATGCTGTAGGCATTTTTATGGATGTCAGCAGACTAGCCTGGAGTTCAAAAAATGTATTGAGCCAGCAGTGCACTTCCCACTTGTGTGATCTCTCCGAGGCATTATGGCTGCTGTTGGCATCTCTTCCTTGTACAGAAGCCCTTCCACAGGTGAAAGCCTGTCCCTTCCAGCTTCTCTCTAATGACATTGCTCACATCCAGAATGACTGTTCATTTTGAAACAGCCTTGCCCTACTTCACCTGTCTGTGCCAAGCACCTCTGAGCTGCTCTGAAAGGAAACTTCAGCATGCTCAACCAAATAGTTTACAGCTGTAGTATGAAAGCAGAAAGACAGGCAGAACACAACCTCCTCATTTCCACTATTTCAAATGGAGCTGTTTAATCATTAAGGGTGTACGTATTGCTCAGGCACCCTCTGTAACATATGTGATTTGATCATGTTCACAGGAGAAAGAAACTGAAATGCCTGGAGTAATGAAGACAGATGTTCAAACTTAGAGCCATTTTCTTTTCTTGTTAGTCCCAGGCATAAGTAGATGGTGACAGAATGAATTTGTCAAGATTGCTAAGCACAGAACATAAAATATGTGACAACTACTTTATTGGAATATACATTCTTAGAAATTATTTGCTAGAGAATATGATGTGCCTGGTTATAAATGTCCTGTGCATAAGTCTAAAGTAAGAAGTTGGGAATATTTATTGTGTGTAATAAAAACCTTTACAACTCCTTTTGGAGCTAGAATAATGTGCCTACTTATATTTGCCAGAGCAAATCAGACAGAGATCTTACTTCCACTAAAAGAGAGCCAGGTATTCCAAAAGTGGGTTAAAGCTAGGAAAGCGTTCACAATAGATGTGCTTCTTTACTTATTCTAAAATATGAGTAAAACTGGCCTGTGACTTCTATGAAACAGCCTCATTCTAGTGGAAGATGTGTCTTGACATTTTAAAACCTTTGTTTTAAATGTGCAGTTAGTACTTATAGAATGCCACACACCTGGATCTGTGATGATTTGGAATTTTCTATTTCTATTTGTTATGAAGCTTCACAATACAGTGAGATCGAATAATAGTAAAGACAACTAGGATAACACAATAGACTGACCCAACAGGTACAGCTATTGAGAAGCTGATGTGCTGGATAGTCCACAGATACAGACTGAAATGTCCCAAAGAGCAGATGGGAAAGCTCTTGAGCTCAAAAGCAGTATGCAGCTTAGGGCTGTGACACACAATCAGCTAATGCTGGCACTCCATTTATTAGCAGGATCTTAAGGCAGACATAGATTTTAATGAAGGTCAGTAAAGGCTTTTTGAATAAATCAATTTGCACAATGCTGAACATTGCTTTCCCTTTCAAAGTGCTGACCCATACTTAGCTACCAAGGGTCAAGTCTGAAATGCATGGGCTATAAACTAATGCTGACCATACAGTAAACTGCTGATGTATTGGTGCTCAGCACCTCATCAAATTTATCTCATGTTGTAAAAATCTGGGGGAAAAGTGTTGAATTTATGAGATACTGGAAATACACAATAAATTTAAAGACTGCTAGGAAGATAAAGTAACATTAAATGTTAATAGCATATGTATTAAATGTATTTAATCACTATTGTTTGTATGCTAGCTGGAGGTCAGATTTGAAAACAAATCAAATTACCGTGAGACTCCTGGCTAACAGAACAGTTTTTTTACACACCTATTCAAACAAGAGTGGAGATGGTTACTCTTGGATGTTGTTAGGTGTATTTTGAAAAACAAACAAACAAGTATTGGCTACATTTCTGAAAATAAAGACATGAAAGTATGCTGTGCTTGTGCCATACTGTCCTCTCTAATGTGTCAATAAACTGAATTTATTCAGTACCTTGAAATTGTCTAAATGAGTTTTGTCATTATAATACCGTAACATTGCTGTGAACTCACGTGTGATTTATAACTTTTTAAAAGGCTTGTGCAACTTGATTTAACAAAGATATGCACTCATAAATCAGTCCCACAGGCAGAGTAAGAGTATGTATTTTAACTGTGCAAATAAGCAATACTAAATGATTGTGGTATTAGTCTTACCTTTTTGAAAGCAATAGTTGCAATTCAGTTATATGAAGCATTACTGCTAAAATGGGACTATATGCCTGAAGGGCTGGGAGGAACGGCTCTGACTGTCAGACAGTGACACTCCATTCTTTTTATCCATATTATCCCCAATTACTCTGACAGCTCTACACACAGAGAACCCTTTGGAGTCTTGAGCTGTAAGTAAGTTGTTGCAGTAGAAGCAGAGGCAATAAAGCCTGATTTCTTACAGATCTGTGGGTTTGTCCTTGAACAGTGCCATTCTCTTCACTGTGATATTCAGCTCTTCTTTACAGTCTAAGGATCAGAGCCATAGAAGCACTCCTGAGTTATGCCAGTTTGGCTCCTGCTTTGCTGCTGCTAAAGCTGCAGGACACCAGTTGCATCCTGGCTACTCTTCGTCCAGTGCACTGATCTGTGCTTCTCCTCGACCTGACTGCTGACTTTAAGTACATTATAAGGACAGGGATAACTGCCACACAATCTTCTTTTCAAATTTGGGCTAATTGAGCAACACATTCAAAAGTTGTTGGGGAGACTGACAGAAGCTAAAAATAATGTTCAGTCATGCAAGCGTGTGGTGGTTTTCATATGACGTTTTTAAATATATAAGTAGTTAAGCACTGAAATGATTAATTGAAATGAGATACAATTATCTTTAGTGTGATTTTCTTCCTCCTCAGTCAAAGCATGTTGAACAATGCAAATTGCTACTGACTCACCTGTTTTGTGACTGATGGATAACTCTCTACATGGAAACATGCTCTTTGACTGACTTGCACTAGCTATTGGATCATGGGCTCAATTCTTCATTATCCATTATCTTCTACACCACAGCTTCAGCTGGAATAATTGATTGGGCAGAGAAACAGGTCTGTTAGAACACCAGCTTTGTTAGAACACCAGCTATTTTGATTATAGAAGCATGCTACACTTCATAGTGATGCCAATTGCAATTATCATAAAGGAATCCAGGGATTTAAGAGAAGACTGCATACATTAATTAACCTTTTGGCTAAGTGAGGAATAGGTCGAAGTGATAGGTGACCTCGTGGATGGTTTACTATTTAAGTTACAGCACAATACATTAAGGTAAATGCTTACCTCACAGGCAAACAATACTTATCTTCTCATGTAAAGCTAGTGAGAGAATTTTGCTTAACTCCATGTATGGCACAACCTCATAATGGAAAGACAATACAGCAAATTGGCAATTTTATTTTTTTTAGTATTGTATCAGCATGACTTACTGTATTTTCCTACACTTATTGTAAAGTTAGATAAGCCATCTGATAAACTCATGTTTCTAAAGGAAAGAGGAAAATTCTCTTCTGGCATGCAATTCTCAATGCTGTCAACTGCAACTCTGCAGCAATTATCTGTCATTTTAGGCTCCAGCCTTCTCTAAGGTTAGTCCACAATTTTGACAGTCTGCCTGGGACTAATAATACACTAATAAGAGTAATACACTAGGGATCACCTTTACTAAATGTGCTAATGGCATCCCATTGAATCAAAATATGAAATCCAGTCAATGTGAATGCAGTTTACCGAGAAAGA